CTAATCACCACACCCAATTTATGTGGACTCTTACATGATCATATGATTTGTTTAAACTTATTTAAATAGATATATATCAAAAATATAATTTATTATTAATTAATTATTATCTTTTTTGGTCTATATATAAGTGTCAGATTCTAGTTGGTGAAGTAACGATAATGTGTTAACATAGATATAAATCCGAATATACCTTACTAAAGTCAGAGTGTAAATCTCATATGTCATACATACACATTACACATATAGATGTAGCGATTGTATAAAGGGTTTATATATTTTGATAACCAGTAAATATTTAGATATACAAATTTTACAATGGTAAAAAAAGTTCAAATTGCTACTATTTTTAATGGTAACATCTATATTTTTGACAATTCATTAAGGATTCGTTTGGTAGAGTGTATATGCAAATAATGCTTGTATTAGTTATACTTAGATTATTTCTTAAGCATTTTGATTTGGTGCATTAAAAATAGTCACAAATATCATTCTAATTCTAATTCTTAATCATATTCTAATTCATGCATTAGAATCATTGCATTACAAATACCATAAATTTTCATATATTAATAATTTTGATATATATAGACAGTGTACAAAATGTATGTCATCTTTTGATTGATCTATATTAGATCATGAGCAATTACGATAATAGAGGACAATAAATTGACGAAAATGCTGGCAGTTGCTTGATTACAGTAGCAAAAAAAAAAAAAACCGAAGCTCGATTACAGTAGCAAAAAACAAACAGTAGCTTCATTACAAAAACAAATTCAATCAAGCTTGTTTAAGATTTATTGTTGTTCACACATGTAGTTCTCTTGTGTCCGGTTCTCTTACAAATTGAACGTTTATTCCTTCTCTTGCTCTTGAAATTCTCACCGATGCCTTTGACACGTTTTCTTTTTTTTCTTCCAAGCTTAGTATCGACAAAAGGCGAAAGAATGTTCACATTAAGCAATTCTTCTTGAACACACTATTCCGACTCAAGAGGGACAACATTAATAGAATTCATATATGCAAGAAGGTACACTTCAACTTTATACAAAGGCGAAGAGTACTTATAGATGCTCATACCTTACTCATTGCCATGTTTCGATCGCAAAACGGCTATCGCGTGAGCACAAGGTATCTTGATCAAGTCATATTCCCTACATGAACATGACTTTTCCAGTAGGTCCACATAGGCAGTAACACCCGCACCGAACACGGTAAATTGATTGCCGTCCCTGGTTATATTCTCCACATACAAGGAGTCGCCTTCTATCATTTTTTTTCTTGCGATTTTTTCCGCAGCTGGCACCATTTGATTACCCATTGATTTGAGGATATATGCATTCCTCTCCCTAAACAATTCTCCAAACCTCTTAGCAATCGAATTAAATATAGATGCCACGGGATACTCTCTTTCGTCTAGCAACTTAGCTTTGAGTGACTCAGCGTTATTTGTGGTCATCACATCATATCTATTGCTAGGAAAATGTGTCCTGCTCCACTTCTCAAAACCAATATCATGCTCAAGGACGACGGTTGCCGCGGGAAATTTGTTCCTGAATTCTACAAAATGATTGTAAAACTCCTCCAAAGAATAAGCCTTTGCCGCATTGTAGTAAAGATAAAGGTAATCTCCACAATGATGATTTATGCAGAGATTTTCACCGAGGTGCCTCATACAATATCCATGGTGAGCATGATTGTAAACGTTCACAATACCGTTGGCGATAATCTTATGTCTATCGGAGATAAAACATAAATCTGGTTCATCGACCACAATCTCCTTCAATTTCTCAAAGAAGAATGTCCAAGATGCATCATTCTCTTTGTCCACGACACAATAGGCAATCGGATAAACATGATTCTCCGTATCTTGTTCAACAGCGATAAACAACACGCCCTCGTATTTACCATGTAAATGAGTGCCATCAACCGCAATTACCTTTCTTATGTGGGCTAATCCCTTAATGCAAGCACCAAAGGCCAAGAAATAATACATGAACCTATGACTATCCTCGTTTACCATGAGACAATAACTAGAACCAACATTAAGTGTCTCGAACATCTAAGAAAAAGTTGGTAAGTATGAATATATGTTCTCCGCTGTCCCTCAGACCATTTCCTTAGCAACCACACCACCCTTCCAACATTTCCAATAGCTTGGACTACAATGAAAAGAATTAAACATAGCTCTTTGAATCTCTTTACCATTTGGACCCTTGCCATCACGATACATATTTACACAAAGTGAAGCAATCACTTTGATTGAAATTTTTCTATGGCTATTGTTGGCATGTTCAACGCCACAACTATGTTCACCAATGTACTTATAGATACGAAATCTATCCGTACACTCATATTTCCTCGCCCACAACATCCATGCACAATTGCGAGTTACATATTTCACCTTTAAGTATTTAGTACAACTCTTCACAGTAGCAAAATCGAAAGACTTTTTTGCCGCTGCTTCGGCTAATAACAATTGCAACTCATTCTTGATACTGAAAGTTTGGTTTATACATAAATTAGTTCCATCGGAGAAGGAATGATTGGATTGTGATCCCAATTCCTTTTGTACCTGCATTTCTTCACAACATTCGGGTTCAGGATCTTCCGCATCTACCGGCTGAGTTTCCACATTAGTTGGATCATCATGTATATTCATTGAATGATCACCCAAGCTCTCATTTAAATTATCACCCAAGCTCTCCTTTGAATGATCACCCAATCTTTCATTTCCAATCGAATCATTGTCGCCGTTAAATGAATTTGTTGGTTCAATTGGAGGCCTCGCATTGACGTTTATTCTCAATGTAGGCCTAGAGCCATCAATACCAATATCTAACATGTACAAGCTCACGTGCCTATCATTTTTTATGAATGTGAGATGTATTTTTCCCCTCCCATTCATTTGATAGCTAATCACCGAGTCATTTGGCTCGCAAGTTAACTCACCGACCTTAATTATGCTTGCAATCATATCGTCATATGAACCATTGCGACGAAACGCAATGGGCACTGTCGTCTTACTAAAAGATTTCCAATTCCAGCTTTTGGGAGTCTCCTCCCATACTCCCATATAATCACCACCAGCAACAACAAATTTAGTTACTGTGATTATCGACTACAAAGATATATACTACATTACAATATCAGTCATTAACAATCGATGAAGTCTGACATCCGTACAGAAACGCGACTGAATGAGATCGTGGTTCAAAATGCAACTCCTGCAATGGCGAAACAGATCTTTATTGCTTTTAAACTACTAAAATGTATCCATAATAAGTTATCAAGTGATTATTATGGAAGATTTCTCAAATTTCTAAAATGGCGGAAAATCATTTTGAAACTTGGTTTTTGAAAGAAAATGGAGTAAAAATGAAGATGGAGTAGGAGATGATGATGATATTACCTTGAAAATGGATATTTTGGCCGGAAAACTCGCTGAGATCGTCACTTTCTCCAACAACAAAAACGAGTTGCTCTCTTCTTTCCCGTTTGGTTTTTTTCTTTGTTTTTAATATAACTTTTAAAAAATGCAAATAGATATATATTATTCCAAATTAGTTGGAAAAGAAGGGGGGACCATAGTGGAGATATGGAAACCTAGTGAGGTCTTTTGTATGTGTCAATTAGGGCACATGGAAGATATCATTAATAGTGGTTGTACCACAAATTGTTCAAGACTTTTGTCTTAATGTTCAATTAAGTTTGGAGAGTGGCTATTTTGCCAACTCTCCCAACTAACTATGTTAAAGTTACTAAATATAATATAATATTTAATTGACTATTTTTTTGATTTCTCTTCCCCACAAATTTGTATATCTTAGACAAAATCAAATTTTACCGCATTTATTCTCTTTATGTATAAAGATTGAGCAACCTTTTGAGGGAAATGCCGTTGTTGATTCATAGCAATAGTAGCATAACCAAATTAAAATTTTTGAGCACAACCAAAAAAAAATTTGGATGTTTTTTACTATAAGACTCAATATCAAAATAATTATAAATATTAATTTAGAGTTTTTTATTCTTGTTATTTATTTTTAGTGCAGTATTCTTATAGACATAATGCATTTATATCCATAGTAAATGTTATTATTTATAATCATAAAAATTCAATAAAATGTTAGTCATGTATTTGCAATATATTACCTTGGATATTATTGTAAAAAAATAATTTATTATTACAAAGATTTGAATAGTTTAACTCAAAATTCTAATATTTCTGTTAGAAAGTATGTAGTTTTTTTTTTAACATAAATTTTTGTGACTCAAAAGTTTTAGGATCTAAAAAAGATTTTACTAGTCTCATTTTTCAGATAATGTGGATAAAAAAAAAGATTATATTCTGGCCATAGTTGTGCCTTACTCATTGTAAAATTTTCCATATACTAAATCATAAATGTGTCAATACTTGTAATGAGTATGTGTACATGGAGAAAGTTTAATTTAAAAGTTGATTGGTCTGAGAAGTAGAACATAACGTAACAGAGTTTTAATACAATGGTATCACATTCATTAACTTTAATGAATCACTTGTGAAAGGTTTATCAATTGAAAATAATTCTTTGATGTATTTTGGTATCTATTTCAAAGGGTATTGATTCTAGAGTTCGAAAAAAGCTTAATTAAGAGATGCGTCTTAATGCACATTGTACATTAACCATAAGACATGTCACTTGAAATTAAGATATTCCGTGTCTTAATGCACAATGTACATTCGCTACATACTTGTTGACAACAAGACGAACTTAGGCCACTGAATAGGGGTTTATGGGAACTCAACAATTTTAGCACAAATTCTATTTTTGTATTGGGAAATTCAATAAATATATAAGAAAAAGGACTAGAAATCCAAACAAAGTGTTATTTATTTTGTCCAATAGCACAAAAGAAACTTTTTAAGCTTAGCTACCCCTTGGTCACCACTCACCACCCACCATATATGTCTTTATTTTGATTTTTGTCTCTTTTTAGTATAGGAATTCAAATGTCAAATTCTGAATTCGTTTTGCTTGAGGATTAACTGTATCATTGTATAACTACAAAAGTTATGCTTTAAACCAAATTTATTTTCCTTACACATGTAGTTTTTATTTTCTTTTAATGAGGTTTTAAGAAATACAAAAGTTCTATTCGGCTCCATCTTTGACCTATAACTCCTCTGTTTCAATATGATAAATAATAATAAAAAAAGTAATAATAATATCAAAGAATAAGATAGTATATGTATAATAATAACAATCTTGATAATGTGGGAGTAAAAGTCTGCTTTGATACTAACGCAATATCGATAATATAAATTTGTTGATCATCCTAGATGTCCTCATCTACCTTAACTCGTAACGTAACATTAGAAATCTTTACGGATAATTTTTTTCTTTTTGATGTACATGGATGATTTAAAAATTATGTACTGATGTTGATAGTGATGATGATTGTGATATGAATTATGACTTGAATAAGGATGGAAGAATCCCATTGAAAATGTTTTTCTTATTAAGTAGAGTATAATTTAATAATGTGTGTTATTTTTTAAAGTTACATATATGTTTCAAAAAAATATATTTTCTTTTACGTTTAAATCAAAGGCTTGAATGTTTTTAAAAATAAAATACTTATTTTCTATTTTAAATTTCATAAAATTAAATGCATAAAAAAATTATTTTTAATTTAAATTTGTCTTTTATAAGTTATATTCTATTATACTTAGTTACATATATATAACTCATAAGGTGTGTAACTGTAGGAATTTCATAATACAAAAATTAAGATGCAAGTATAAAAAATGTATCCGAATCTGAATCATATTATTAGTGATGTTTAGTGTATTTAATTAACTTATCATCCCTAAGTAATATAATGAAATAATAGAGTATATTATGACAATTAAGAAGCTATATCAAAATAATTAATCCCATAAATAAGGAAGAAGAAATGCAATCCTTTAAAACCAAATTAAACATAACAAATTTAGAATTTAAACGATAAGATTTCTGAGTTGATAGAGTGAGTTCTAAGGTGAACCTCTATCCTTATTGTTCACATGTAGATAGGGCTAAATATCGAAATATTGAATTCTATCGAATCCATAAACAATTAGAAATAGTTGAATGGGACAAATGTTCAAAAAAAAGTGACCTCTTGTCTGTAAAAGAAGAGGCCAGAAGGTCCATCATTTGGCAACAAAGCAAGTTTCACAAAGCTTTCTGCACCTTTTTCAGCAGTTAAATTCCCAGTATTAGCGTTTACGTCTGTTTTGCAATAACCAGGACACACCGAATTAACGCGAAAATTCGGATATTTAGTAGCTAAAATTCTTGTGTAGGCAACCAAGGCTGCTTTTGAGACTCTGTAAGCTGTGAAATTAGTTGGCCATCCTTTGGATTCAATTGAATTTTCTGTAAAATCTTTGAGAAATTCATTCAACACTTGCTCCACCTTTTCTTCTGTTAGGCTTTTTTCATCACTTAGAACTTTTTTAGCCCATTCGTTGCGCAATAACTGTAGAGAATAACAATTAATATGCGAAACAATAAATTGTACGCAAATCTTTATCACTAGAGAGACTGTTTCTAATAAACCTTAAGGTCAGGGGAAAAAATAGTCCAAAGCAGAATATAGGAATAAAATAAGGGGAAAAGGATAAATATACCTCCGAACTATCGTAAATGGTATGCAGATACCCTCCGTCATACTTTTGGGACATTGATGCCCCTGCCATAAAAAACTAGAGCATATATACCTTTTATACTAACGGACATCACATGTCATATAATCTTATCCACTGGTCCGACATTTATTAAATATCGGATCAGTGGATAAGATTGCACCATATGTCCCTATTTAGTCTTCCGTTAGAGTGAAGGACATATATGCTCAATGTCCAAAAGTATAACGGAGGATATCTCCATACCATTTACGCTAGTTTGAGGATATATTTGTCCTTTTTCCCATAAAATAATAACGGAAGTAACGTTACCTTTAACTTCCCTAAGAAAGAAGCAACATTAACAATCCTTGGGGAATTAGAGAGTTGAAGGAGAGGAGCAAATGCTTCAATCATTCTTTTTGCACCATAGTAGTTTGTCTCCACACATTGTTTTGTCAACTCATAATTTGTAACAATTTCAGGATATGATTTCATTGTACCTCCATCTTTCTACATAGTAATTAATAGTTAGGATATTGTAACTAGCATTTAATGCGTATATATATGTAAACATAAAAATAAATAACAAAATATATTAGAATTGGAAATATATATATATCTTACTCCATTTTCAGTAGAAATGGTTAAGAAATCTCCTTCTATGATCTCTTTTAGTACAAGGACATCTCCTTCTACCATTAATCCACCAACTCCTGCGTTGTTAATCTGCAAAGCATAAATTCATAATTTCTTATTTCTCTGAACAATTAGGAAAATATTTTTAAAAATGTTATTAAATTAAATTTATATATAATTGAGAATATAATTTTGTCAGTATCGTTTACACCATCGGGTATATTACAAAATGATATCTTTTTGATCTCCAGTAACAGGAAAAAATGTTTTAAAATAAATTGCACATGGATGTTACCTATTTTTGTGGATCTTAAAGATCTTATGTCTTACAGTAGATGATCTTCCTCACAAGGAAAATTAATTTTTTTTAAAAAAGAAATGCTATAGTATATGGTTGTACCTATTTTTGTAAGATCTCAAGGAACATAATAAGCATTTTGGACCTAAATAAAATTGGTAACTGAGTAGTGTACAACATTTACGCGTCCCTTACAGAAAATATTAATAAGGACAACAAGTAAAATGGACCAAAGAGAGTATATAATTTAATTAAATCCTTGCAACTTGATTAATAACATGGCTATGAAACTTGTAATGTTCAATTTTCTGAGAAAGACATTTAATAAAATTAATTATAAGAGTATTTGTTTAAATTTTTATTTACTTCTTCTTAAACGTATGATTTAACTAATACTCCAAAATCTGTAATATTTCCTTTATAAATCATACGTTTAATTAATACTTCACAAATTGGATCAGTAAACGTGGGATTTTGAGTTTATCAATTTTAATTACTTCTAGCAAACTCTTAAAAAGAATTGAAAAATTATTCATACGTAATTTTTTTTAACATAAACAAAATATGTGTTAAAGTTAATGAGTTTTGCTGAACAAATATAAACAGATCGGATGGAGTGATAAATAGTAGTTACCAGAATATCAAGCCTTCCAAATTTTGTGTTGATGAAATCCACAAGAGAAGAAATACTAGTTGGATCCATAATATCAAGTTGATGAAACAAAACTTGATCATTAGTAAAGTTTGACTCCTTTTTGAGCCTTTCAATAGCTTCAATGCCTCTTTTTTCATCTCTTGATGTCAACACTACAATTACACCTTTGCTTGCTAATTGCTTGCATGTTTCATATCCTAGTCCTTTATTTCCCCCACTCACCACTGCATACCTGACCATACCATATATCAAAGATATTTAAATTATATACATCGATACTATAATATTTTCTACACTAGCAACGTAGTTCTTATAGATGGCATATTAGATGACTTATTTACAACATCAGTGCATAGAACTTAGAACGAACTTCACCAAAAAAATAAATTATACATAGAAAAAAATAACTACGCGATTGTATTTGTGAATATATATATATATATATATATATACCTTGTGCTCTCGACGTTGGTGATTTTTTCTGCCATTGTTGGAAGTTGCAATATAAGTAGCTAGCTTTAGATATGGGGATTGTTTGCTAATTGCTATGTGTTCTGTTCTTTTTATTTAGGCAGAGTGTGTGTATTTATATATGTCAATGTTAGTGTTGTCCTATTTTACTATGACTAAAGCACGTTGCTAAAAGCCTAAATTATTAAGCATTTCTTCACCATTACTCTATTATTCAACTTGCTATATAATTATAATGATTAACGAATTTCAAAATATTCGCCAGTAGTTTACATATCAAATATTTTGGGGATCTGTTTCTTGTATTAAGTATATAGATATTTTTTCTGTATATTAGATACGCACACACTAAGCATCTTCCTAAATAATAACTTGCTTCATCTTATATATTATTGTTAGTGTTGAACCTGTTTTTAGTGTCATTGCGTTGACAGAAGCACATTGCTAAAAGCCTAAAATTTTAAACAATTTCTTCACAGAATTCAATGTGTGTCCTTAAACTATTTAATTCTCAGATGTAGAATTATTTTGTCTTTAGGATAAAACCGAGTACATTTTTCAAATGAATTAGCCAAACAAATTTTTATTTATAGCCAAAATGACTTGAGTATTAAGATGAAAAGGTGCAATACAATATTACAAAGACAAAGATCCTTTTCATGTTTTAAAGATAAAATTGACGAGAATACAACAAGAATTTAAACGTTATAGTTTCTGATTCGATTTGTATCCTTATTTTTCACACGTACATATTAATAGTTGAATTATCCAAATGTTCAAAAAGAGGTGACATCCTTTCTGTAAAAGAAGACACCAGAAGGTCCATCATTTGGCAACAAAGAAAGTTTAACCAAGCTTTCAGCACCTTCTTCAGCCGTTAAACTTCCAGTATATGCAGTCATGTCTGTACCACAATAGCCAGGGCACACCGAATTTACGCGAAAATTCGGATATTTTGAACCTAAAACTCTTGTGTAGGCAATCAAGGCTGCTTTTGACACTTTGTAAGCTGCAAAGTAAGTTGGCCATCCTTTGGCTTCTACTGAATTTTCTGTAAAATCTTTGAGAAATTCATTTAACACTTGCTCTACCCTTTCTTCTGTTAGGCTTTTTGCATCACTTAGCGCGCACATTTTTAGCCCATTCGTTGCACAAAAACTGTACAAAAAGTAGGAAATCGAAAATCACTCAATAGCAATTGTACAATATCAATTACCCAATAGCTCTAATCCATGATAAGGATACTTATAACAAGATGAAGAAAATGTAGAAAAATTTCCCACATTATATTATACAAACACATTGAACTAGATAGTATTTTTTTTTACTATAAAGTATAAATCGATGTTTTTTTGTGGTGTGTTACCTTTAACTTAATGGTGTAAAAAAATCATAGACTAAAAGCTAAACTCAACATATATAATTAAACGAAGTAATCATAAGAGATCATTGTCATTAAATTACTATATATTTAATTAATTACCTTTAACTTCCCTAAGAAAGAAGCAACATTAACAATCCTTGGTGAATTAGAGAGTTGAAGGAGAGGGATAAATGCTTTACTCATCCTTTTTGCACCATAAAAGTTTGTCTCTATGCATTGTTTTGTCAACTCATAATTTGTAACGATACCTTCAATTGATTTCTCCATAACACTTTCGTCCTCTTCCTGCACAATTAATTAAATTATTGTACGTATCGACCAACTTTAATGTATATGTACATACGTAATAACGTATATAATAAATTATAAAAAAATGAAATTTTATAAGTGGAAAAATCTTACTTCATTTTCAGTAGAAATGGTTACGAAATCTCCTTCTATTAAATCTTTTATTGTAAGACTATTACAATTTCCTTCCACCATTGATCCACTAACCCCTGCATTGTTAACCTGCAAATTAAAGCATTCATGTATATCTAAGGTTGACATCCATCTATATATTTAAATGGGGATGCTTTCTTGTGCTTTTCATTGTGATCCATTCCTAAGGCTGATTACTGCTCCAATGATTGTGAAAGAGAATCTTCTCCTTATTTTAATTATGATCCATTAGCAAATCGAGTAATCCTTAATGAAACGAAGCTCAGCAACAAAATCCTGTATAGTTGTCTCTCATGATTGAAAGATTAAGCAAGCTCTTTTCTGACACGGAATGATTTTTTTTATGCAGTCGTGAAAGATTTGGAGAAATGCAATGCCTAAATAAAAAATTCAATATTATATTTTTAGCGGGTCGGGTCATTAAATAGATATATATTTGGTTCTTAAAATTTTGATTAAAAATAAAAAAAATTCATGTCAGCAAATTTTAGTGAAAAAAAATAATTAAATAGCTTGAGTGACTTTCTATGCAAAGAAGTCATAGTTGAGTGACTTTCTGTTAAAATAATTGATAGTTGAGTGACCAGCAAAGTTATTAACTCAATTGTTTTGCATGCTAACTGCCTACATGAAGTCTTGTTCTAGAAGAGCTGTACCATGTAAAAGCACAATTTAGCTAAATTTTATAAATTAATGCTCAAGTTGTTAGAGTAAGTTTGTAATTTGAATTCTTCAAAAATAGCAATGAGTGCATGTTAAGGTCTAGACCTATCAATGATTATTTAAATTATGATAATGGCGGCAAGCTAAGTGCGCATGTTTTCCATGCATTCAGATATGCCAACTTGACTTTTAGCATTAATTCAGATGATGTAATCAATGGCATCTACATTCAAACCAGTGTGAGCGATATTGTAATAACATAGAAAATTGAAAGAGGGTTATTATTTTTGATTGTGCAATGGTCTTTGCGGTATTTTACTTAGGTATCGGTTGTCCCTATCGGCTTGCGGTTTTTTTCTCTTATTCATAAAAGTTTTCAGGTAAAAATTCTCGGTGTCATTATGCTATTTTTGTTAACTTTGATTATCATAGTTTAATTAATCTTTTTTTTATTATTATATGTTGTGAATATTATTTGTGTGTTATTTTTCCCAGCAAGATCCTCCAAAAATTAGTATTATCTTTTGAGGATCAAACTCAACTACTTTTTGGATTCAACATAGGTATAACTATTTTTAGAGAGTCTGAACAACTAAAACTTATAATAGGCCCTGCTGTTTGCCAGGAAAGTTGTGTATAAATCAGAATAAAACAGAGTATATCAGAATGGACAGATTCATATAGCCAACCTCGAACTTTTTTAGAATTAAGGAGAAGTTGATACAACACACCATTTGCATTTAATTGAAGATTATTCATTAGTACATGTTATTCTAGGCCTTATAGGCTTATATCATCAGCTGCGCGTTCACAATTAACAACATACTCTCATTCGAATGATGAGACTTCTTTTCGATCAAAGAACAAACCAGAAGGACCGTCATCAGGCTGTAGAGCAAGCCTTACAGGACTCTCCGCGCCTTCTTCAACAGACAATATCCCACTATTGAAATTGATATCTGTTTTCACAAAACCAGGGCAGACACAATTGATCTGTATAGACGGATGCTTCTTTGTCATGACCCTCGAGTACGCGTTCATTGCTGCTTTAGAGACTATGTAAGCTGACATTAAAGAAGGCCAGCCCTTGGTTTGAAGTGTATCTTCTTTGAAATCCTTCAGATATTGATTTATCACCCCTTCTATTTTCTCTTCTGTCAGGTTTTCGCTGTCATTTAATATTCCTGTAGCCCATTCATGTTTCAAGTTCTGAAAATGAAATTCAATCACTACTCATGGATATTATCTAATTAGCGACATTGATTAACAAACTTGTCACAACACACACAAAATAAGATTGAAATTATCAAATTTGCTGATAAAATCCGAGCTCAATCATTGATATTATGTATATTAAGTTTCCTGTGATTGTTAAGTATTATGCAGACAAACATCCCCTTCATATTATAAAGAAGAAAAATGAAAAAGAGAATCTCAGACTGGAAAAGAAAATTGTTGTCCTCTGGGAGGTCGACTAAGGCTTATTAAACATGTCCTAATCTTCCTATGCACATGTGAACGTTTTTCCCTGAATTAGCCAGCCCACACTTCGGCTACTAATAATGGGATAAGACCAAACTACTATATAGGATTTGTTATCCTCTCTCCGTAAGTACAGTGAAGGACTCACGAGTCACGCCTCACCCACCTGTTTGACTATGGCATCATCGACTCGCTTTTCAATCAAGATGATTCCATAACCATAAAGAAAGACATTTATTTCAGGATCAGTCCTGTCCCTAGATGTAGTAGTCAATCAGCGGGACATTCAAAGAAGCTATGCTCCGTAACTGAATGTTAATGAAAGAAAGCCCTTCCATCCTAATCTCATCTACTGAAAAGAGGGCTGGGCACAGCACATAAAAGACTATAGCCAGATGATGTTTTGTATCAATGAGTCTCCACTACTGTTAGGACTTCCTCAGAGTCTGTCAATCTTATTAACGGCATTTTTTTAGTAAGCAAATGCAGATTTGAGTAGTTTCAAAGTTTTAATCATACTTTTACTTCAGAATTTATCATTTGCACCAGCCAAGCTTGTATAAGTCTAAAAGTTTTAAAGTTAAATCACATTAAACTGACAAATGCAGCTATGTAGATGTGGAAAATTGCAAAAAGTCTGAAGAAATGTTGCCAGGTTACCTTTAGCTTTCCCATGGAGGATGAAACATTCACAATCCTCGGCGACTTAGATAATTGGAGGAGTGGAATAAATGCTTCAGTCATTCTCTTCACACCATAATAGTTTGTCTCAAGACACTCCTTTGCCAACTCAAATGACTGAGTCAATATGTCATTCCAATTGACTTGAGATCCTCCTGTCTATAGCACAGAGAACGATAAATAAAGCGTGCAAGCGATTAAGTTACGTGTCAAAAGTTGAATTTTCCACAGAGAGAGCGAGTGAGAGTTATGGCTACTGACCATGTTGCTTGATTGTAGAACCTAATAGACTCATAAAACAGGACATGTTCTGGTTTCTTGATCACTATGTACAGGCTACAGCAGATACCTCAATCCAATTTCATGGTTAATTCTATATCAAAATCAAGTTGCACATAAATTGATCAAACATGTAGTAAAATGAAAGATCTGGTATTGTTGCTTTGAGCGTCGTGCCTAATTATGATAAACTCTCGGGGTTGTGAATTCTCTTAGACGCGTCACAGTACACACCAAACTATGTCCATTTAGGTGGCATTCAAATACTAGTAAAATAAACTTTTAAAGAAGGCATAAATTGTCCTATAGTAATTAATCTCTCAGACGAAAGATTCTTGAATGTAAGAAAAGGAAATCTTGATATAGTTGAGGAAAACCTATACTCATATTATTCTGAAAAATAATAATCAGAAGTATTCATATCATTTATAACTATATTATCATAGTCATAATTTATTTCATACCTATAAAATTCATTCAAATCGATTTGCAATAATGCTCCCCAATGATAATCTGACGCATCAGTTTGTAATACTAAATTGTCATTTTCATCTGGTAATCTAAGTTTTGGCAACTTAGAGCATCGTTTAAGTTCTATGCATGACAGTAACTATAATTACAGGTAAGTTACAACATTGTAACGCAATTACAAGTAAATCTCTATAATAAGCATCAATTGATAACTTCTTGCACAATCAATTAGGCACTAAGTTACAAGTATATCTCTATGATAAGCATCAATTAGTAACCTGATGAAAATGGTAACTAAACTGCTATATTACACTTGATATTTGTCATACAACAATCAACTATGTATTAAGACATAAGTAGTTATTCCTCCGTTTCAATTTGTTTGCTCTTTTGCATATTTCGACAACTATTTAATTTTAACTTTCCACGTGACATGTTTAAGAGCACAAGATTAAAAGTCATTTTGGTACCTTCTACGTATCTTTAGTTTAAGACCACTAGATTCAAAAGTCTTTTTATTTTCTTAAACTCCGTCATAAGGTATGTTGCTCAAACTCTTTAAAATGTCAACAAGTGCGAGTTGGATTCTCCAAAAATTGTGACATAGGTGTAGCTACAAAAGTGAAGAGTTCGTGCAACTTAGGTCATAATTCAAAATCAAACAAACAAATTGAATAATTGATTCAAGTTAAAAGGTGTTACCCCACTGGACTCTTGTTTAGCTCTTAAGGCATCAACATCAGCATTGACTCCAGCTATTCCTGCATTATTCACCTAATAAAAAAAAACCACAAAATCAATAGTTCATTTTTCCAAATTGTTTTGGTCATAAAACAAGAAAGTTAAATCAAGAACAATATACCAAGATATCAAGCCTGCCAAATTTTATCTTAATAAATTCAGCCAAAGAATCAATACTAGAATTATCCACAACATCAAGCTGATGAAACACCACATTTTCAGCCAAACCAAAGCCTTTAAGTTTCTCCAAAGCTTCAATCCCTCTCTTCTCATCTCTAGCACCCAAAATCACCAACACTCCATGAGAAGCTAGCTGCCTACATATTTCAAATCCAATCCCTTTGTTTGCCCCTGTAACTACTGCATACCTGCACTCACATCAATTTATGTGACGCAGTTTGAATCGACACCAAATTTTAAAAAAAAAGAACAGACTTTTAAAATTACAGTCTAAAACATGTTTAAAACTTGTAGTAATAAAAACTTTACTTGGGTAAAATAGAAAATTAAAATTATAAATCAGATAAAGGGTATAGTAAAATACTTTGTGGCTCTGCCTTCTGCCATTGAGAATAGTTTTTGTTATCCTTTTAGCTAATTGCTTTGTTAGCTCATGTTCCAGTGAGATAATATACATATATATATTGCTATGACAAAATATGGCAAAGTGGTTATCCACGTGTATGCATTTATAACTTCACAAGGGAACAGAAGTAAGATCCTGTTAGAGATTTGATAAAAGTATTTTATTCTATTTAATAAAGTGAAATTTGTTATCACTAGTCTAGAAGTATCCAATTAATTAATTTTAAAGTTATAATTAAGTGAAGCAAGTTTTCTATATATAGAGCATAAACGTTTAATTTAGGTTGATTTTGTTAAAACATTTCAAATCCTTTATAAATTTATGTAAAAAAAAAAGTATTAGTAAAGCATCTTTGTATTCAAGTGCTTTTCTAATAGGAAAAAAAGAAATGATGGATAAGAATATAAAGTTACTTTTCACATTGTAGTCTAGTTTCAATGTAGGACGTTGTCATTTTAAATAAGATCACAAGAGTTAGTTTTATAATTATGATTTCAATGTGGGATTCATAAAGTTACTTCTTCTTTAATTTCAGTATTACAAACTATACAAAAAGTCGCAAGTCCTTTAGTGCAACCAAATCCCAACTACAAGCAGATTGACATAAAGTCATAAACAGATCACAGATGCAAACAAGTGAAATTTTATAAGTGAGGTTTGAGAAAATAATGTATATGCAGTGTTGCCTCTGTAAATTAAAGGTAGGTCGAGAGAAGCATAATAACAAGTATTGAAAGGAACATTAATAAATAAGTCATGCTACAAATAAAATAGTAAAGTACAGCAGCAATAACAAATAATACGATAGACGTAGCAAAAATATAATAATTAATAAGTAATAATAAAATTGATTATACAAATACTACAAATGCAAAACTAGTCTTTCAATCGACTCATGTTGATGGGATAATTAACGATAGAAATCAATATGGAATGTCACTAGTGAAACTTATTTTTTACACTTTCAGTAGAAAAGTCATTTTCAAATTTGATTTCCTACGAAAAATATGTTTCTAAAAATTTTGATTACAAAAACAAGACATATGCAATAGATAATCCAATAGTTTTTTAACTTGTATATTACAAATTACAATTTACAATTTATACATTATAATATGTTCCTCCATAACTTTCTCCATGAACCTATATTTCTCGGCTCCGATAATATGGTTGAATAAGTCGGATCCTCTACAAACCATATATTATTACAAAATTCAACACGAATATAATAACATTTTTTTAAAAAATCAAGCAGTATAGCTATGATCGCGGGGTTCTCAATTTGATTAGAAAGGAGAGAGCTCTTTCCTAATGTAGTAGTTTCCTGATGGACCTCCTTGAGGTAAAAGAGTAAGCCAAACAGAACTTTGAGCACCTCTTCAACAGTTAATGTGCCACAATTGCAACATATATCAGTTTTTACATAACCTGGACAAACACAATTTATGAAAAAATTAGGGTATTTCTTAGCCAATACTCTTGTGTCAGCTTGTTATTTACTGTACTAAAAATAGATATGCGTGATACGACATATTATAAAATTATTGGTATGCAATTAAATAAAATACCTTGAACTACTTTCCACCAAAGGAGGAGACATTGACAATACGTGGTGAATTAGATAACTAAAGTAGAGGTTATAATTCTTGTATCATCCATTTTGCACCATATATAGTAATCTACTTTTATCTTCTCAAAGAATAAGTTTTGCTGCAATAAGACCAACACAAAATTATTTCATTTCAAACGGGATAAAGAATATACTCAAGAAATTCACATAACTATAGATAAAATGGATCTCGGGCCTAACTAAACTCCAAATTTCCTCGTCCCATTGATGTGATATTTAACACCCTAGTCTCACGCATGTCTAGTACGTGGACAATTTAATATGGTATACAAAAATATACCAAAGACGCACAAAAAAGAAATAAATTCGAGCAAGAGGCAAGATTTTTGAATGTTTATTATTGGTGTAGTTATAATTAAAATTGTAGACAATTAAATTTATAGTTACTTTTTATTTCTTAATTTGTCTAATTCACTTCAATTTGAATCAACATGCTTTAATATTTGCTTTGTAAGATTGTCTTCAATTCTTTGAGATGTTTTATTAGACGTTTCAAGCTCAAACTAATCAAATTATCAAATAATTAAATTTTAAAAAATATTGTCTTAACTTTGAATGTCTTCTGTAGGTAACAATCACTATAATACTATTACGAAATATCATATAAGTAAAAAAGATACTCTAATTGTCATATTCAATGAAGCAGTCTTAATTTTATTTTTAAAACACTTTTAGAATAATTTTGATAGTTTATATAAAAATTGATTATATTAAAAAAGTTTTAAAAACTATAATCAATAAAACAGATTTAAATATTTGTGTTGTTATGTAATGTACAATAATGTGTATATATATTGTTTTTCTTACAAAATATTACAAGAAATGTTATACTATCAATTGAAAAAAATAATTAATTATTAAATTATAATCAATTACAATATTTTTTAAAAAATTTATGAGAATAATATATATATATATAAAATATTAAATAAATCTAACTCCATTTTCTAATTTTGGCTTGCCCACCCATTCTATTGAGTCACATTTTTTTTTCTGGATTTTGGTTTGTTTCCCATTGTTGTTACTTTCAAGTTGCTGCCTATTTTAGATTTTCTTGTCAATATGTTTTATGTATTGTGTAAGTTTTCGTTGGTGATTTAAGCATTTTTTTTTCTTTCAGATTTTGGTTTATTTTCTAGATTTTGATTTGTTTTCCATTTTTGTCTCTTTCAAGTTGCTGCCTATTTTAGATTTCTTGCCAATTCAAGTATTATTAGTTCTTGCATAAGATTTCCTTGTCAATTCAAGCATTATTAGTTCTTGCACAAGGCATTTTTCGTGGTTTAATCATTTTTTTTTCAAATATTGGTTTGTTTTCCGTTTTTGTTTCTTTCGAGTGGCTGCCTATTTAAGATTTCCTTGTCAATTTAGGTATTATTAGTTCTTGCACTTATGTTTCATGTATGGTGTAAATTCTCATTCATGTTTAAGATTTTTTTCCCAGATTTTGGTTTGTTTCCAATTTTTGTTTCTTATTTTTTGTGGGATTTGATCCGACCTCATTGCTAAAATTGAACTTCTCTTTGGTTGTTCTTAATGTTTTAACTCTCTAAAGAATTATTAACTCTCTAAAAAATTCCTAAGGAGTTGCTCTTAATGTTTTAACTCTCTAAGGAATGAATATATGTGGTACACTATAAGAAAACTGTGAATTACATGGAGATCTTACCTAGGAAAATATTTCGCAGAAAATAGATGTGGATTTTCTTGCGAATATTTTCTAGAGATTTTGCTAGCTATAGATTTAGTGAAAAAAAATTAATTTTGTTTCCTTCCATACTTACCTTTAAATTTGTATTATTTGGAATCTTTTTCTTTATTCAATTCAAAAAATTAATGAGTAATTGAAATTATATGGAAAAATAACTATAATAATTATAATTAATTTTCATTTAATATTATTTAATAGTAAATTGTGTATTATTGCATAAGTTAAGCACTATTTTAAGTAGAAAAAAATTCGATTATATACCTTATTAATGTGAAGTTTAATTACCCCCTTGTTGATAGAAGGCAAGAAGTACTCAGTACCCCCCTGAACTTGAAGCTTTTTATACAGTGTACACCTAAACTAAATTTCGTTTTAATTACCCCCCCGAACTTGTTTATTCCTCCGTCGCGTACACCTTTTTCGTCCACCTACTCCTGTTGGGACTACACGCGCGCGACAGCTGTCTAAATTGGTGATGTGGATTTCCACCTGGATAAATAATAGCCACCTGGATAAATTAATATTGCAAAAAATAAATTTCTTAAATTTAAAATTCATTGTTTAAAAGTTATTTTTGAATAAGGGCTGATTTCGCGGAACTCCTTTTGGATTTGGGTTTTTCTAGACGTGAAGTTGGTCGATTAAATTTCAAATTTGTCTGAAATTCTTACCAAGTAAGTGTTAATCTTTGTTTCCTTTACTTTTCATTTACATTTTACCCTATTTTTCGTTTAAAATATGCCAAATATTAAAGAAAAATGAAGATTTTACGTTTTTTTTATCGCTGTAGCGTTATGATGTGGCAAAAAATCACTTCCTCACGCGCCTAGTAGAGATTGTTGTCAATTTCTACGCCAGGTGGACGAAAAAGGTGTACGCGACGGAGGAATAAACAAGTTCGGGGGGGTAATTAAAACGAAATTTAGTTTAGGTGTACACTATATAAAAAGCTTCAAGTTTAGGGGGGTACTGAGTACTTCTGCCTTGATAGAATTATATAAACTAGAAAATAAATATTTTTATTTGTATATTCAATTGATATATTATTTTTTTACCGACATTAAAAATGATAAAATTTCTCTATATTGAGTTATTAAAATGATATTTATTTCCCAATATATAATTAAGTATTTTAACATATAATTATTAAAAGATAAATTTAAATTGTAAATACCGCACATACCTAACAATATATACTATCAATTATTGATTATAACTTCCTTCCACATTAAATTTATAAATATATTTATATTTTTAATTATTATTTTATAAGAACTTTGAATGTATAATTTAAATTTTGTTGTACGTTTAATATGCTTAGTTATGGATATTATCTCATAGAAAGTGTAAACATAAAATTTTACATGATATGTTGGGTGGTAGTGATTTATTTTAAATATATAAATAATTTCTATGTTTCATTTTTTAAGAGTTAAATCACATGAACTTTAGCCAATATTTCAACATATATGTTGTTACCATATTAATATGAGATGACTTTATAGTTCTTTTTTGTGTAATTTATAAATATTAAAATTATATTTTAATACTCAATTAATATTAAATTTATCTTTAAAAATTAATCAAATTGAAAAAAAACTCTAAAAATTAGTATAATGACATTAGTACCACATCGATGGAATACACTGAATTTTCCATATATAATGTTATGACTTAGATTATTGTGAGATGTAGCAATTAGTATAGGTTGGGCATTGG